CACTGTCTCTGTCTCTCTTTGTCTCTCTTTCTCTGTCTCTCTATCTCTCTGTCTCTGTCTGTCTCTCTGTCTCTTTCTGTCTCTCTGTCTCTGTCTGTCTCTCTGTCTCTGTCTGTCTGTCTCTCTTCTCTCTCTCTCTCCTTCCCTCCCTCCCTCTCTCTGTCTCTGTCTCTCTCTTTCTCTCTCTCTCTCTCCAGGGCTGTCTGTGTAATAGCCCTGGCTGTCCTGGACCCAGTCTGGCCTTGAACTTACAGAGATCTGCCTGCCTCTCACTGGGCATGAGCCACCACTGTTTTTCCATTCTTAAAGTTAGCTCCACCTTCATCTGGTTTTACTTATCTGCATCTTCTCTTTTCTCCTAGTGATATAGATAAAGGTTTGTCATTTTGTTGATGTTTTAAGATAAACTTTTGTTTTCAAAATATATTGCTTCTGAAATAATGATACATGCCTAAGCTGCCCTACAAATGAGTTGTGGTCCACATTCTTGTCCCTCTCCCTACCACATGTTTATGGTTCCTGCAAAACCAACATTATTAGGGTAGAACTTCAACTAGCTGTGGTTAGCCAGGGTTCATCTCATTATTTCCACCACCTGCTGCCCACCCAGAGTTAAGCCAGCAATGTCTACCTCTCAGGATCTCTGAATCTCTGCCACATCCAGGTCTGAGGGGTTTTTATTTTTTCTCATGCAACTGTACCCACAAAGAATGCATTCTGTATAGGAGGAAGCCTGTATGCTGCCATTAACTATGTGACTTACTAGAGGTGCATACAGATGAGGTACTAAAAGAGCAGTTTACCACACCGCTAACTACACCCACTTTAGGCATGACTAAAGACATATATACGGACGGATGTAAAGACGTATACGTAGGTAGGCCTACTTTTGGGCATGGCTAGGGGGCATTACGGGGGAAGGCATAAAAGACAGCACACAGGAAGTCTTGGTCTCTTTTCCCGGATTTTGGCGTCCGGTTCGACAGCGGGAATACTACTGGGCTCATCTGGGTTACTTGCTTGGTATCTTGTGAGTAATTTCTACAATAAATACTTAGTTTTATTTTCAGTAAGTATGCTGTTTATTGTTACAGCATCAATTCTGGATTTTCTGATGTTTGCTGTAGCATCATGGCCCTCCCCAGAGAATGTCATAAGCTACAGTTTTGGGCATAAAGCCAGACCCTGATGGTATTCACTTTCATGTTACTTTTACTCATCAGGACTTAAGGAAAGATGAAATGGTATATGAATGCCATCCTTTCCCTCCCAACCAGCTGTTGCCATGACAGAGTTAAGTGATAAATGTCTGCCAAATAGTGTGCTATGTCTTATCACAACCAAGTCTTTTTCCTAATGGCAGACTACCGCTAAGACATCTGTACTGAGCTCCAAATCTAGCACAGAGCATCTGACCTACAGAAGGACAAGGTATTAGCTCCCTAACACTGTCTACACAAGTCCTCTTAAGTAAGTAACTTGACTGATTGGGTTTTCATTTGCAAGTAAAAAATAAAGTTTCTGATGTTACTTCTTTCTTCTCAGAGTTTATTTGAATGGAAGAAATAGAAACGTCCAATGTGCTACCTTTATATTATAAGTTTAGTAAAATTTAATTACTACTTGGATGATCTTTTCTGGGGTATGTGTGTGTGTCTATGTGTGTGTGGGGGGTAGGTTTGCTACATGCATGCATATGGATGTTTACTTCTGTGGGTGTGCACATGGAGGCCAGAGGAAGATATAAGGTGTTCCCCTTCCTACATTTTTTTCACTTGAGATGGTCTTTATCTGAACCTGGAACTAGGATGACAATCAGCAAGTTTTAGCAATCCTTCTGTCTTCCTGCCTATTGTGCCAAGGTAGCATGACTATGACTAGTTTGCTGGACTGGAAATTGGAATCCAGAGCCTTAAATTCACTCAGCACATGTTCTTACCTGCTGAGCAATCTTCCCAACCCCTTATTTCTATTTTTGATTATGTAGTTTTGTCTTTTGTTATTCATCTGGATACTTTTCATGATCTTAGAAAAGGGGAGAGAAATGTATGCCCCATCTCTAATCCTCGATATGTCCTTTACAAGAATTAGATGTTGCTGGCCTTTCTTGTTTTGACTTTCTATGCCTTGTTGTCTAACTTTATAATTTGGCACAGGAGCAGTGGGAAGCATATGTATTTTGTTATGAAGATAATACCAAAGCAAATGGCAATATAATGACTGCTTTATCTCATTTATTGTATTAGTTCATATCATGTGTGACTAAACTGAAGATGTAAAATCCTAGAACTCACTAGTTTATTTTAGTAGGACACAGGAAGCACATAAACTGTAGGAACCGTGGTGAACCCAAAGCATCTATGATGAGAAGAGGAAAGAGTATTTGCACTTTTAATGTAGCAACTGAACAAACCCATCATAGAAGAGTAAGGAAGTTCCAAAGGACACCATCAAAGTGCCTTCAGACTATTAATAAACCTTTCTTGTTCTGCCATCACTTCTTTGGGCAACTTGTTCCCACATTTTCATTTGGTTGTGTCTTGCCATTTGTAAATGGCAGAGAGATAGGTTTTGATATCAACTTAACTTTCAGCTTGAGTGGTTTAACCCCAATGGGTTAAAGTCACTTGAGAGAGCATAACCTTCAGTTAACCTTCAGAATGATAATCAACATGATTTTAAGCATCTCATATCCAGTATCAGTCTTCTTACAGCATTTGGGGAGTACAAATGATTTTCATTTCATTGATTTGCAGAAGAGTTGAGATGATCACCATCCTTCTCCAGGCAACCTGAGGCACCACAGCCATGCCTTCACTGGGATCCTGCTTATCTAGCATGTATACCAAGCTAGGTAGCTGGTGATGGGTTGTCTTTGGAGTATCTCAAAGGCCACACAACACTCATCTTCCTTGCTGAAAATCCTGAAAAGCATTAACCCATTCCTGGCAGATATATATATACATATATATACGTATATGTATATGTATATATATGTATATATATATGGAGTTCTCAAACTCATACAAAAGCATACAAGCATCCTTTCTATTTTCCTTATCCACATAAAGATTTTAAGATGCAAATTCTCAAATTTCTTAATATTTGTATGGCATAAATGAGGTGAAGGTGACAAGAACAGTTTTGTGGTTACCCCAAGATCCACTCTTAGCTTCCAATGAACATCTTCACCTCTCTCTTATCTTGTAGGATCTGCTCACTGCAAGGCAGAAAGGGGATCAGAAAGTGGGAGTAGGCAATTGAGGTCTTTCTTCTGTACTGCTCTACCAAATTTTAGCAACTGATTTTTATCTCTCAATGTCAGAGCTCAGGTAGTAGTTTTATTCTGTTTTGTTTTTGACCCTTCCAGTTCTAAGGAGGAGAACAAAATTCTTTATTCGACCCTGGAAATTTCTTAGTAAGAATATACTAGTGTGTCAAATGACAAATTAACAAGGGTGAAAAAGAAATATTTGGTGGGAACGAGAACTTCTCAAACATGTGGCTTTGGATTCCAACTTACATAGAATCTTCAACAATGTATAGTAAAAGTTTAAAGAAGTAGTAAAACAAGAAAAAAAGGGATTTGCTTCTCTGTGGGTAGAAACTAGTGGGGCAATTGAAAAATGGCAGTAAAAAACTAGTTAGTAAAGTTTGTGAGTGTGGATTCTTCTGATATAATTTCCAGGTTGATAAAGATCTTGAGTTGTCTTCAGTGGTTAGCCATTTCTCTGTAGAGTAGGAGATATTTTTTGCCTTTAAAAATTGTATGTTCTGCTTTTAGAGAAATAGAGGGAAGGCAGAAAGCTTTCTTAATCTGCTATTCACCAACCACCAACAATATACCAACAAATATGGCAGAGCCATGTTCTAGGGTAAACTTGGGCTTCTTGCAAAACACAGGAGCAGTAGCTCCCATTTCGGCTAGTCTTTGGGTATTGGTTCTTCTGACCCTACTCAGATTTCTATTCTCTAGAGGCAGATCATTTTTTGATCTACCCAACACTGTTTCTCTTTGTTTTCAAATGCCATGGCTAGAATCAGTGATCTACACAGTATGAAGATGGAAGTGAAAAATGGTCTAACAAGGGATCTTGACTGTAGAAATGCATCTGTTCTAGAACAAGAAAAGAAAGTTTTCTTAAAAAACAAACAAAAAACATAGACCTTTTTGCTTAACAAAACCTAATTCATATACACATTATTGCCAACTTCCTGAAATCTGGAGAGGACTCTTGGTCTGCACTAAGCTTCCCTGCTGCTGTCATCTCTTATAGTGGTGGCACCCCTCAGTACACTGCTCTCAATCAGACTTTGGTACTTTTGCTTGTCACTTGCTGAACATCTACTGTATACCAAATGATCTGTGAGCTGTTTTGTATCCATTTACCCATGCAAGGCCCCAGAGCTCTTATGATTCAAGTTTGACTGTTGGGGAAATCAATGCTTAGAGAAGATTCTGACTGCCAGGTCTGTTAATCCTGCAGAATTCCAGAGACCAGCTCAGATGAGTATGTCCAGCTTTGCAAAACATTAAGAACATTTCTAAGTGAGTGCTTATGATGTGGATTTTGTTTTAAACAAAGCTTCTTTCAGAGGAAAGCGACCTATAATGCTAATAAGAGCAGGGCTAGCTCCTCTTCCTAAGAAGATCTTAACACAAAAGATCACTAAACATTCTCCTTCATTAGAAAGCTGTATTTAAGTAATATTTCTAACCATATTCCAACTCACAATACTCTGAAAGAAACACACAAATCTCAGTGAAACCTCATTGCATTTACTCCATTATGACCAATGGCCTCATTAGTGTTTATTCTTTGGGAGTAATGGATGCTATTGCACTTGGGTCATGACAATTAACACAGAGAAGAGAGCAGAGAATGGAAAAGCTATGAAAGGCCTATAAGACAAAGAAGTCCAGAGTTGAAATATACTGATGCTGGGGGACAGGGAGTGGCTGACTCACATTCAAAATTGCATAAGCAAGATTTCAAAATTAATCCTGTGGAGACCTCAGCCCAGTATACAATGGTCCTGGCTGGAAAAGAAGAACTGTGAATCTTTGTTGCTTTTTTTTTTTCTTCAAATCTTTACCATCACTTGCCCTTCTATCTCCGCCTTCTCTTTCTGCAGGAAACTTTATTTCCTACTTCTGCACACCAAGTTTCTACCTCCAGATCTGAGGTTTTTGTTTCTGAGAAGCCTGAGACACTAGTGCCTCCAAGAAGAAGCCATCCCTGGTGAGTTGTGATTTTTCCCTGACTTTATGAAAGTTAAGCTCAGGCATCTCCAAGCTTGAGGTGCAGGGTATTAGAGAGACAGCCTGGGAGGCTGTGCAGCCTGTGCATGTAGAAAGAATGATCAAGATTCAGGTAGATGAGAGGTATAATATTCATTAAGAAATGTTAGAAAGACCCTAGTGGCAGTAAGGAAATGAGGGTATTGCTGGGTAGGACTATCCTTTGGGGATCAGGTGATTAAAAAGGGGACAACAAAGGGAGGAAAATTACTCAGCCTGGTCACCTTCTAGGCACTCACAGGCTTACTTTGTCCCTCTTAGCATGCAGAGGGCTTAAACTTCTAGAACTTTCTACCATGAAATCTTTTACCTCTGGTCTATACATGGGATGGTCCAAGTCCAGAACCAAAATATTCCTTTTAAATATGCTTTTTGTCTCTTCTCATGAGGGCCACACAGGCTGAAAAGAAAACTCTCTGTCCTCTCTCTCTCCCTCTCTCCCCCCTCCCCCTCTACCCCCTCTTTATTGCTTTCTTTCTGTCTTTTCTGACAGTCAGCTTTTCTGCAGCCCTGGGTGCTAGGTTTTGATGCCCAAAGTGATACACAGGCAGTACCTTTCAGTCATTTTGTTGGATACTTGATATAGTAGGAACTAGATGCTGGCTATAGGGTTAGATGAATTGCCTAGTATTTTCCATAACAGCTGGAACTTTGGGAACAGACCAGGACTTAGCGCAGTGTGATTGTTCAGGCATATGCACTTTCTTCTTGACTTTCATCAGAAATCTCACTTAGATTTTTGTTTGCAGTCTGGTGATATGGCTCAGTGATGTGAAATGCAAGCTTGTAAAATGTGTCTATCACTGAAGAGATGGAAAAAACTGTGCTATATAGGTGGATAAAAACAAACTTATAGTCAATATCAGGAAAAGACATTCTTAATGCTCAAGATCTAATGATACAACATCTCATAATTTTATAATTATTATAGATTTTTGCTTGCATTCATTCAGTGAGTAACACTTTTAGGCAAATGAAGTTATAAGAGTTGGAGATTAAAAACACTGCCACTTCCTAACCTCAGAGGGGTGCATAGTATGTAAAAGATAGCACAATAAGGGCTTACTTAAGTTTCACAAGAGCAGGGTGATTTATCAGAAGGTGCAGATTAGGCTTCACAAGACAAAGAAAATTTGAGTAGGAGGTAGGATGAGTAGGAGCCATTTGAGGCCAAGGGACATGCATTTAGTAAGTCACCATGGCTTGAAGGAAATGTAGAGAAGATGGCAGTAGCTCTGCACAGGACTGGGAACATGGAAAATGACTGGAGATGAAACTGAGAAGCAAGTTGTCCTAATGAGCAGATCAACCACCATGAGATCCTACCCCATCCAAATCATGTGGTTACTGGGGGTTTCAGGCTGAGGAGTGCATATGTATGCAATGTTAACTGTTAGGGCAGACACAATGAGAGGGATGAGCTATATATAAGTGAAGGAAAGCTATACTCAATATGAAGTGCGTAGTGGATGAGACAAGAAACCAGAAGCTCATAGAGGGCAGAAAGGATGAATATGACAAGTATGTAGGGGTAGAATCCATATGATACAATACCAACACAGAACATTTATCAGTAGCCCATGCTGTGGTGAGTCCTCATTTCTGGTTCACAACAACTTAGTTTCTATACAGGGAAACAGATACTTGACTTTAAATTATACAGCTTTCATGTTAGAGTCGTGATTTTTCTTACATTTTTTTGAGATTTTTTTTTTATGGGAGTGTCTGTGTTAGTGAGTGCCATATGAATTCAGCTACCTGCAATGACCAGAGGAGGGCATTGGACCCATCATTAGTACTAGGAACTGAGCTTAAATCATCTGCAAGAACAATAGGTACTCTAAATTGCTGAGTCATCTATCTAGGCATCTAACCTGGAGGCAGGATTTGAACCCAATCTATGTGGCCCTGAAGGACAACCCTTAATTTTCTGAGGAGGAATGATTTGAAATAATACCAGAGTTTGCTTTTTACACAATGTAATAGATGATAATAACTAAGATAAAGAACTCACAATTTGGTCAGCAAGATAGTTCCTGTGTCAAAGTGCTTAATAACCTGAGTTCAAATACTTGTAGCTCATACAGGAAGGAAAGAACAGATTGCTCTCTGACATCCAAACATGTATAGCAGTGTATGCGTGTGTGCCCTCAGGTATAAGTCATAGTCATTGCTAAATAAATATTGGCTGTGTGGACAAATTCCTGAATAGATACCACTAAATAGTGAAAAATTAGACAGGTTTGGGAGAAGGTGGGACTTGAACACAGAGCCTTGGAAAACATAAGAATTTAAGAGAATCAAAATCCTGAGATTAGCTGACATAATTCAGCCAGTCTGAATTAGAAGAATTTTGGAGCATGAATAAAGAGACAAAAGGTAAAAGGGGACAAAAGTCAAGTATAGTGTATGAGAGTTTTTATGGAGTAGGCAATGAGATGTCACAAAAAAAATGTTAATAAACAGTGAGGTAGGAATTCCTCCTAGAATCTAAAAAAAGAATTAAGAATATTGATCTGCTTATTTTGTGTAAGTGCATGTGCCTACTTCAGTTTATATGAATTAAGTGTGTACAGGTGCCTATGGAGGTCAGAAAGTGATCGATTCCCCCAGAACTGGAATGACAGGTTTTTATGAGCTCCCTGTTGTGGGTACAGAAAACCAACTTGGGTTCTCTGAAAGAGCAGTAAATACCCTTGACTGCTGAGCCATCTTTCCAGCCCCTTAAAAGGGGTCTTGAACAAGGAAATTAATGCTCAATGAGAGTGAATTTGAAACAAAGTTAAAGCATGTGAACATTGGGTTGTCATTGCAACCTTGTTAAAGGAAGTGTGGGAGGATGGTGGAGGCAGGAGTTGAAAGGATCATTAAAATGCTTTTGGATGCAAGGAATAGATGACTTGCAATGGGTTATTTTCACTCTCAAATAAGAAGTCAGAAAGTGAGCCCCCTTGGTGGTTTCTGTACAATGTCTAGGTCTTTCGCTTATAGTCCTAAGCACCAAGCTTATGCTAGACAAGTTAAAAGTAAGAGAAGGAGCCACAGTGTTTCTTTTGTGCCTTGTCCCTTTTACTGGGAAAGAACCTCCATAGCAACCTCCTAGTAAACTCTAATTGTATCTTATAATTCAGTAATGAATCATACTCCTCTTCACCACATGCAGGGAATGCAGTGAATGCAGTCATGCACCGTTGTAGCCTTATGATGAGAAAAACACTCACCAGGGAATATCAAGGGTGTTAAAGGAAATGGTTGTTGAGTTGACAAGGTGTGTCTGCTATGAGGAATAAAAGGAGAGTGATATACATGTGATGTCAAGAAGACAACTACAAAGGAGAAACTAAAGACTAGGATGCTGATTTGGATTAGGGAATTTGACATTTGTGCTACAGATAATCATTTTGTACTCTGTCCACAGAAACAAGGGAAATGGAAGACAGCGATATGTTTCCTCAGCTCATCCATGGCATATTATCAACAAAAAATATCCAAGAGTTAGATGAAGACTTCACCACACCTTATGACTATGATAATAGTGCACCTTGTCATAAAAACAATGTGAAGCAAACTGGTGCCTGGATCCTGCCCCCACTCTACTCTCTGGTATTCATCTTTGGCTTTGTGGGTAACATGTTGGTCATTCTCATCCTGATAAGCTGCAAAAAGCTAAAGAGCATGACTGACATCTACTTGCTCAACCTGGCCATCTCTGACATGCTCTTCCTGCTCACTCTCCCAGTCTGGGCTCACTATGCTGCAAATGAGTGGGTATTCGGGGATATAATGTGCAAATTATTCACAGGGCTCTATCACATTGGTTATTTTGGTGGAATCTTCTTCATTATCCTCCTGACGATTGATAGGTACTTGGCTATTGTCCATGCTGTGTTTGCTCTAAAAGCCAGGACGGTCACCTTTGGGGTGATGACAAGTGGAGTCACTTGGGTGGTGGCTGTGTTTGCCTCTCTCCCAGGAATCATATTTACTAAATTCAAAGAAGAGTATTATCATCAAACCTGTGGTCCTTATTTTCCATTAATATGGAAGAATTTCCATGCAATAATGAGGAATATCTTGAGCCTGGTCCTACCCTTACTTGTCATGGTCATCTGCTACTCAGGAATCCTCCACACCCTGTTTCGCTGTAGGAATGAGAAGAAGAGGCACAGGGCTGTGAGGCTCATCTTTGCCATCATGATTGTCTACTTTATCTTCTGGACTCCCTACAACATTGTTCTCTTCCTGAACACCTTCCAGGAATTCTTGGGACTGAGTAACTGTGTGACTACCAATCACTTAGACCAGGCCATGCAGGTGACAGAAACTCTTGGAATGACACACTGCTGCATCAACCCTATCATCTACGCCTTTGTTGGAGAGAAGTTCCGGAGGTATCTTTCCATATTCTTCAGAAAGCACATAGCTAAACGTCTCTGCAAACAGTGCCCAGTTTTCTATAGGGAGGCAGTCGATCGAGTGAGCTCAACATTCACCCCTTCCACTGGGGAGCAAGAAGTCTCAGTTGGGTTGTAAAGCAAGTATCAGTCTGCTTTCTTTTATCAGGTACAAGACACAGTTTGTATATGGTAACAGGCTTCAAAGACAGTTATTCTCACCTTTGGGTCTCAGCCCCTTGTGGGGCTCAATGACCCTTTGACAGAGATGGCCTAAGACCACCAGAAAACACAGCTATTTACATTACAATTCATAACAGTAGCAGTTATGAAGTAGCAACAAAAATAATTTTATGGTTTGGGGTCACCATAACATGAGAGACTGTATTAAAGGGTCACAGCATTAGGAAGGTTGAGAACAATTGCTCAAAGATGTATTAAAGAATAGAGACCTTAAAATCAGATGTCCAGGAACCTTAGGATTATGACAAGACAGAACTTCATCACTTCTTGTATATATAATACTTGTTTAGAATAAATGTTGGCAAAATCTTCAACTTTCCAGCGAACTCATCTCTGTCCCTGAGAAGAGCTTCATTGCCTTATGGTAAAACTATTTTACCAATCTTCACCATGTTTCCCTCTATTTCTTATAAGAAGGCGGACAAGATTAAGCATTATTGATTCTGGATGAAGATGAAGATGAAAGTGAGCAGGGGCCTTTTTCATTTGGAAGGAAAGGTCCTGGTCATTGGCACCATCTCCTACCTGTATTTAATTGAAGGCTTTTATCAGGTTGTGGAAAATCTGGGAACTGTAATAGTTTGTTGGGGGCTTTTATTTGAGTCTCGTGATTCTTTTATACATAACTGCATAGCACATTTTTGCTTTGGTATTTTATCTATGACAACATGAAAAACATCTTTTCAGTATCACACTCCATTGCTTAAATATTTCTCAAGTCACAGGTCCTTATATGATATTTATAAAATTGTTTATAAAATATGTATCATCAGTGGTTAGCCTAAAAATAATAAAGGTTGTTGCTTGATCTTTCCAGGAAGAGCAAAGACTGGAGGTAGTGAGTGACCAAGAGTGAGGAGAAATGCCAATTCCTCCATCAGGCTTAGAAGGCTGCAGCAAAAAAGGCAGGGGTGGGTGAGACGATAGCAGGGATGCATTTAGAACCACATACAATCAGAGGCAAAATGGATGCCTCGGAACTGAGGAAAGGTGTCTGGGTGTAAATTGGTTTTAGTTCATTGCTGCTATTTCCTGCTTCCCCACTACCATTCCCCAGGATCTTTATTTCTTAACTGCCATACTTCAAACATCAGTGGGCCTAAGAAAAGAGGGTATGAAACAGCTAAACATGAGCCCCTGCATAGTCCTGGAAGAGAAAAAGCACTGATTATATTTTGTGAGCAAAGAAAGGGATGGATGCAGCAGGGCCATGAGCCCTTGCTTTGGTAATTATACTCCTATCCTAGGAACCTATCTTAATTACCAGGCAGGATAAGTCTGGATTAAAAAAAAAAGATTACAGATGGAGTGGGAATAAGTGTGTCACAGACTATCTTCCAGTGCCTTATTTTTTGATACAAACATAATTCAAAGATTTTTTTTAAAAATTAAAGATAGAAAAAATAAAAATAAGACTGTAAACTTCGACTTCTAAAGATGATGAAATACCTCTGTAAGAGTTTCTACCATGCCAGGCTTGAACACATTACATTAGTTAAAGAAAAAAATTCTGACTTTGAGAATATGAACTGACATAGACAACTCTGGATTGACAGGATCTTGGATTTGTGATCTATGGACTTACCTAACTAAGGTGATATAGAGTCTAAGCCATCTGGAGTGCAGCATATGCTACACAGATGCCATGTCAGCAGAGTAATGTTCTCTCAGGCTTGTTTTCCCTAAAATTCCTTTATACCATTCTTCCCAGATGTGCTATTCGTGATAGATCGTCCTTTGGGTGAGTGGGAACCCCTAAATCAAGCCAGCTTCTAAACAAAGCTTTAACAATTTAAATTACAAAGGAGAGTACTTAGACGAACTCCTTCTCATAAGAAAAATATCTCTCCTGAGTTGAAGCAAGAATGTTCTTCCCGATGCTCTAATGTGTTTCTCATCTGACAGAAGCAACAAACAAGGGAACAGACAACCTGGGAACTGGAAGTCTTTGTGGTTTGACTTTGCTACCACATGATGAGAAAAAGTTTCTGGAAGAAGGGAAGAGAGTATCACCTTCAGAAATAATGGTGTTTTATTTTAATGATGATAAGATTAAAAAACAAAAGTTGAAAACCTATGATTTGGGAAATAAATCAATGCTCTATCTACATTGCTAGAAACAAGCATAGGTTTGTTATACCAGTGTGGTTGACTGTTTTGTTCATAGATACACACATCTTCCCATGTACTATTTTGCAATATCACCATACCTGGTACCTGATGGAGAGGTGTGACTTACAGCCTGCCTTCTAAGCTATACATCTTTCTCCAGTTATTGTGTTAGAAGACAAACACAAAGGACATCTGTCTTTTCCAATTATAGCTTCAGCATGGTTGGTGTGAGTTTCATTTTAGGAAACTAAAGCCATGCATCTTGGTGAGTGAGAAGATAAGAGAAATGAAGCCAGGACCACATCCATGAATAAGAGGAGCAAAAGTTCATGTCCACTATGATAGGCCACTGGGTCGGGAGATTATTTGTTAAGGACAGTGCTGACTAATACAGATGGGAGTATTTGTTAAGGACGGTGCTGAATAATACAGATGGGAGATAATGTTTATGAAAAATGTTTTTCTATTGTGGGTGCAATATGAAAAGCAGCCTGAGGGTCTACAGATTGGATGGGTAAGGTGAAAATGGATGTTGCTGTCAGCCCAGGACTCTGGAGAGTGGTATGGGGTACAGAGGGCTCAGATATGGTCACAAGAGCACAGGGAAAGAAGAGTATATAGGACTTTTTTTTTGAGAATACAAAAGGTGAGCACTAACTCAGTGATGGTCATGCAGCATGGTATGAACATCTACAGTAGGATTTTGTGCCACAGAAGAAACTGCCTGGTAGGAGTTGTCTGTTATTTGTTTCCAGAAGTGAGCTCTAAAGTCATCTGGGGGAAAGCCATTGAGTGAACAATTGAAGGAAAGTGGGAACAAGGAGAAGAAAGGCCACCATACCAAGGGATGGGTGTTTGGACAGTTTTGGTGCAATAGTGGGCTTGTCACTGTTCCCAATAGCCTTAGGTCTGTGCTGTCAAAGCAGCTGGGGAGGCTGGGTGTGTGCAGAGGACTCTGCAGCTGCCGGAAGGACTTCAGTAGAAGCTGTCCATCTGCTTCTATGCATTTAGACTTCTCAGACAAATGAAATTAGCTCAAACTAGATTATCCATCAAGCTTGACTGCCCAGGTATCTATGGAAACACATCATAGGAGAAAGAGTCTGGGCTATGAGTGTTTCTGAAAGACAGCTCAGGAATGGGGTGGGAAAAGGCCAGGTATAGGTTTAGAGAGTGACCAATAAAGGATAGAATTTATTTAAGATATGGACACTTTGGCATATTATCTTAGTCACTGTTCTACTATTGTGAAAAGACAATATGACCATGACAACTCTTACAACAGAAAGCATTTAATTGGGATTAGCTTACGGTTTCAGAGGTTTAGTCCATTGTCATCATGGCAGGAAACATGGTGGTGTGCAAGCATATTGCTGAAGAACCAGCTGAGAACTGCATTCCGATCCGCAGGCAGCAGCAAGAACAAGACACTGGACCTGGCTTGGACCATTGAAACCTCAAAGCCCACCACTAGTGACATACTTCCTTCATTGAGGCCACACCTACTCCAATAAGGCCGTACTTTCTACTCCAATAAGGCCTAATCCTTTCTAATAGCGCCACTCCTTGGTGGCCAAGCATTCAAATATATGAGTCTACGGGAAGTTACTCGTATTCAAGCCACCACACATAATATGTGTAACATTGAGAAGGTTCTGGCATGATGTGGTATATGGTGAATGTATGTGTGTGGTAGTGGTGGGGTATATAAATCAAGACTTGTATCCCTGCTGGCCCCAGCATACAATTTGTGCCACATCAGCTCAGCAATTCATAAGCAAAGGTCAGGGAACTGAGTAAAGTTTTGATTCATCGACAAGTGACTATTAAACCTCCTAATACAATCTATTTGCAATATGAAATTATTTTCTTTCACTTGAATAATGATCCTTAGAGCCAATTGAATTCTAAAAGTCTGTTCCTAAAGCAGGTATGAGTTCTGTCTTTTCTGTCCCAACTCTACCTCTACACTCAGCCCTGGTTTGTGGTCTGCCTCAAGATGACCTCCAGTACCTCTCCTTTCCATGAGCCATGAGGAAAGTGGTTGTGGCCAGGAGAAGGTCACACATTTCTTTACATAGCTGGTGCCTATCACAGACCCTTCTGTGTTAGCAAAGATGCCCAGAAAGATGAACACTGATGTATTCTTCCTTCAAAGGACCCAGAGCTAATAAGGGCACCCATGACATCATATTAGATATGCAAAATCTCCTTCAACTGGGCTTCTTACAATACACCATTTCTTGGGTGATGATGTTACCTGTCTCTGATAGTGGGCTCCACAATACAACTGTAGCCTGGCTACCTCTTTTGGTAGCCATGCAACCTAGTGAACATGAAGTATTGAGATGTCTTTGTATCCTTATTTATACACCCTGTTCTAACCCCCTACCTCAAATTCCATCCCTTACTTCCCTGTTCAGCTGACTGGTTGCCCTGTGAAGGCCTATGGTGTAAGGAGTTCTGCCCTTCCCTTTTGCAAGCCCCAATTTCTAATGTGATTCTCTCAGAGTCCCACCTGTCCTCCCATTAGCTGGCTGCTTACACAGACATTAGTAAGAGCTGAGAAGACAGCACACGGATGGTTCTGTCACTTCCTAGTAAGGCCAGGAAAGGTGTCTAACCCCAAGTGTCAGTGGTTTCCTCTGTAATGATGAAGCACTTAACACTTCTTGCCCTCAGCCTTAGGTTATTGTTGTCAGCTCCAGAGAGATCAGAATAGTCTTACATAATATCCTTTATGCATAGAGCTGCAGGTGTGATCTGACCCACTCAAGATGACAGTGGTGTGTTGTAAGCCTTAACTGGTACTTAGATTATGTTATCATCCCCAAGGTTGCCTTAGATCCATGTCTTGACACTGTTCTAAAAAATTCCAAATCTATTGGGCAGAATTCCAAACTGAGCTAAGTGGTTTATGCCATGTCCCAGACATAGCTAATGAAAATATATAGCAGACAGTCTCTGAGTATTACATGATTTGATATTTTTCATGGAGCATAAAAATGGTGCATAGGCTAGAGAGAGGGTTATAGTTTTCATTACTAAAGTCTAGAAGACAAAGACAAAAATGGTAAAACAGCATAGTACATACCAATTCCAGTTTTTATGACAGGAGTGTGAGACAGAATCATTTGAACCCAAGCATCATGGCTGAGGCACACAGGTGACAATGTGTGACATTGAGAGGTGGTGAGTAGAATCGTCTTGTTTCTGTAAGGACTGGATGGATTCTCCGGCTACCCTGACAAAGGTAGCCTTGTGGGCACTAGAGACTTTGTCCTGGACAGGACAAAAGAACATCAACAATGACAATAAGTATAACATTGTTCCTGTTAGTAAATTACTGAAAAGATCCTATATGCTTTGTAAAAACATCTAATATGATGTATAGCAAAAGATACCAGGTAGGAGAAAGGCAGCATCTGGAATTTCCTTTTTATGAAGTTAAAAAACATCTGACTTATACAAGGTCAGGATGACCCTTGACCCCTGGGCAAGACAGAGGGCACCTTCCAGGGTCATAGGGAAGATGTATTCCTTATCACCAGGTCTTGATGGGGTCTTATAACTATGCAAATCAAGACTTGCAAAGCGATACAGCTACTATATAAGACCTCAATTAAAACTGCAATCAAAGAAATATATTCACAATAAAAAAATTTTTGAGGCAAGGTTTCACTATTTAGGCCTAGCTAGCCTGAAACTCACTATGTAGACCAGGTTAACCTTATACTCAAAGAGAACCACCTGTCTCTGCCTCTCAAGTGCTAAGATTAAAGGTGTATCTTCACTATGCCTAGCCCATAAAAATTTTTTAATAGCACAAGCAAATGACTGTGCTACAATATTGAGGAAAAACTTACCAAACCCCCCAGAAGTTAGAGTGGTATATATATGAGAACAGTTTAAAAGGGTTCATGGGAAAGGGTTAGGATTGAAATGTGTTAAAGGGGGCTAGTATTTGAATTATGAGAATATGGTTATTTTTCTTATTTTTGTTTTGCTCCACTTTGTGATTTTATAATTAGACATTTGTCTGCATGTGGTATATGCATGTGCATATGGGTTCGTGCACTTGTGTGTGGACATGTGAAGGCCAGAGCTCAACGTCAGGTGTCTTCCTCAACTACCCTTTACCCTAATATTTTGAGACAGGATCTTTTACTGAACCATAAGTTTACTAAATGATTAGACTGGCCAGCTAGTGATCGCCTGGGATCCTCCTGTCTCTGTCCCTCAGGACTGGGAGTAAAGTCAGTATTGACAGATTTGTGGGTTTTTTGTTTGTTTGTTTGCTTTTTGTTTTGCTTTGTTTTTAAATCTGAGCAATGGGGATCCAAACTCAAGCCCTCATACTTTCGTAGCAAGCACTTTATCCACTGAGCCGTCTCCCCAACCCTCGATATATTTTTTTAAAGATTCATTTGCTGTTTTCATAGACCATCCTACACTGACAAGGATTTGAGATGAAGTTTCTGTGTACTTGTGTTCATATAGATAAACTCTTGAACTCAAGGGGAAAGATCAGCACCTCCCTATTTGTTGGGGATGCTCTGAATATTGGTTCAGGGATGTTGTGGGCAATGAGAGAAAAACAAGGAAAGGGAAACTGATAAAATGACTAACGGTGTTGAACTTGCTTAAAGACTCTGGTGTCCCAGAAGAGCTGGCTTGCGGCACTCCACGTGGGTGCTGAGTCTAGAGGGACAAACCAGTCATAAGATCATTTCGTATGGGAGTCTAAGTACAGCATCTATGAGAACAAAGCAGTGCGAACTGGGATGGGCAAAGCAGTGAGTGAAGCCGAGACCAAAATCCAAATTGCTGCACAGTGTGCTATTGTTGTAATGCCCAGAACAAAGTTTGCTTGTGAGTAAAGACTTCTTCACTGGGTCCATAGGTCCTCATTTCCTTGTGCATCCTGGAGACAAACTTCTACCCAGAAACTGATTGGAACACATCTATACGGACCAGGCACTCAAGAGAGGGTAATACCTTGTTCAGCTGGACTTCTTGTTGCAAACTGTGATATGTTCCAAGGCAGGCTTTTTAAACTACACAGTCTCTGGTAGCATTTATTCTTTCACACATCTTCCAGCACGTCCCTAACAGGAGAGACAACGGAATTTCAGAGGTGAAGTAGTTTGCCAAGTAACTTTTGAGCCTGCATAGCTTCTCCACACTGCCCTCTGGGGTGAGCTCTTGTATCTTCCACTACCCTATGAAACTATCTCAGCACAAGCTAAGCCCTGGATCTACATGGTAACAACAAGAGTCAATAGTTTTCACAAACAGAATTATAAAATTTGTCTAGCAGCACTGTAGAGTTCTACCTCATGGAATGTTAAAGAAATGTAGGTTTTAAATTGTGCTTATTTTGAGAAAAAACTCTGAGTGAGTAACTAAGAGGTTGCTGTTTATTGTATGTAATTTGTCTATATATTTGCTTGGAGTGCCTCTTATTACTGCCAAACTCAGGTCTGGACACTTACCACACAGAAAATTAGTCCCCAGGAGACAATAATTGGAAAAAATGAAGCAGGCTTTATTGAGTAGTCCAGTCACCTGGAAGGAAGAAAACTGATGTCTCAAGTCACCCCTTCCAAGTGTTTGGGGGAAATGAAAATATTTATGTGAGGGCAAGATTAAAGGTTATGTGTAGAATTAGCATTCCCAGAAACCTGAGTTAGATAACCCTGTGCTAGCCAGAGTTGTTAATCTCCTGGTGATGGTCTATTCTCACCTTGAAGACAAAAAGCTATGGAGCACAGAGAGGAAGGCCATATCTTGGGGGAATGAAGAACAGGAATAAAACAAAATGAGGTTACTGAAGACAACAGTCTGTTATAACAAACCATGAAGTGATTACTGCTATTCAACCTAACACACACATGAGGCAGTTGATGGGAGTCAAGTGTGGCAGTCTCCTGCAGAAGGCTTGCTTGGGTCCTTGTGCTAGGCTGCCTCTTGTAGATTTAGGAACAAGTAATTTTGCTGTTTGAAGTCTCCTTGCCTTCCTATAGGTCATAAGTCATAGTTGCTGATTCTACAGCTGAAGCTGTGGAAGGCCAGAGGGGCTCTTGTGTCTCCTTGGCCGTTCTTTGCTGCGTTTTCAGCTCTACTGTCATTCCTTGACTTTTTTAAAAACTTCACCCACCACCCAGGAGACCTGATATAGCATTATTGCTACTCTTTTGCCAGTTGTTTTAGTTTACACAAAAGAGTCACACTACACAAATGTAGGGGGGGGGGGAGGAACAAGGCTCTCTGTTCTCTCACGAAGCTCCTATCTTTTTTTAAATTGGCTGGATTTTACTTTAACCAAGAGCAACTATGAGGAGAACAAGTGTTCTTGTCCTTTTGCCTTTACCAGTGAGAAGCTGAGGTGTTGTGTGCACTATCTGTCTCTTAAACAGTGACTGCCTTGATCCAAATGTGGTTTTGAGTCATGAATACAAGTGTTCTACCTTTAGCACCCTTTACTCCTTTCTAATTTCTAACAGATTGTGTAGTGGAGTCAGTTGGGCAGAGAACATAAGTCACATGATGTGAAGAGGGAACTCTCCTCAAGAGAACCCGAGGCCAGAGCTGCCTTCCATTCTCTGCTTTAAATGCAACTTTAAAGAAAAAAGAAGAACTAATCCGACACCCCCACACACACCAGACATACTACGTAATACCCTTTCTCATAAAGCTCCACCCCCCTTTGAGAGAAACTGTGTTTCTTACTTTATACTGCCTATATGTTTAAATTGTACAACTCTCATAACCAGAGGAGCTGTGACATCCGTTCCCCCTACAAGAAACTCTGGTAAATCACCTCTCAGACATCCGTTCCCCCTACAAGAAACTCTGGTAAGTCACCTCTCAGCCCTTGGCAGGCTAGTTAGCTCAGCTTCTGTGATGAGTAAAAACTTCAACAGGAAATCCTGAGAGGACATCTGTCAGCACCAGGTGCTCACTGAATTATCTGAAATATAATCTTTTTTTTTACGAGACAGGGTTTCTCTGTATTGTTTTGGAGGCTATCGGTCCAGCCCAGCCTCGAACTCACAGAGATTTGCCTGCCTCTGCCTCCCGAGTGCTGGGATTAAAGGCATGCGCCACCACCGCCCGGCTGAAATATAATCTTTAAGATACAGAAAGGGTAAGAATTTAGGATATGTTTCAGCATGTGATGTCATCCAATATATAAAACATGATTGTGAATGAAATATTGTTTTTTAAAAAGCAGGCTGAGTTTTTTCCTCTTGAAACAGCTTCTACAGCAATGACATTGGCTGGAAACTGGTTTGATAATTATTATCTTCAGCTGAGAAGAGGTGAAACCTCTCTGTGGGTCACCTGAAACATGTGTGCCAGAGGCTCTAAGTCTCTTGTGTTCTCTGTCTCCCCCATCCCACCTGTCTTCCAGAAAAGAGGGAAACCTAAAAATCGTCTAAGTTCATATCAAATACAAATACCAGTTTCTAGAGCACAGTGATAGAGGAGTCTTGTTCTGGGTCAGCACTTGGTGAGATTTTCCGGGCGTTTCTCTCAACGGTCTAAGTGGGGGTATGGGGAGCTTTAGAGGTGTAAAGATCAAGTAGAGAAAATTCTCAAGCAAAGCAGTCGAATTTAGACAGGACAAGTCAGTTGGATGTACAGGCCAAACACAGAACTATTTAACCTGTAAGATATTCACCCATGGAGGTGGATGAAACATTTTTCTACTTGACCATTTCTTCTGTTTATGTGAGAACTCTTGGTAGTGGCAACTTAGGCAGCAGAAATAACTTCAGAGAAAAGATGAAGATGGCCTACTTTAATAACTATGACACTGTTGGATTACTTGGACATCGGCTCATTTTATCCTGACTACAGAGAGGCAACCCGTTACTAAAAAAGTATATTAGTTACCAAGAAGTGACAGACAACACATGTCAATTAAGGGTTCATGATGCCTGAAATCAAAATCAGTTATTTCCAGGTAGTGTGGTTTTGTGTTAACTTATTCATTCTCTCCACACTTGGGGTCTTTTTATCTAGAAATATGTGGATGATATTATTGCCTCAAACAGTTACCTCAAGCATTTAATAAATGAGTAGGTAGGACGCTTAAAATAGTGATTAGAACTCAGTACTGACACTTGTGTGGCACCTACCATTTGTGGGTAAAGTGCCTAGAAACAGCATCTTCGAAAGAGATCTTAAGCCTGCGAGTTACATAGTGCCTGGCTCAGCTACACAGATTAATTCACCCCACATTGATATGGAGAGTAAGATTTTATTTGATGAAATGCATCTTTTGTAGATTTCAGTTCATATAATGAGGGGAAAATTAAATGTAGAAATTTATGCCTCAAAGACATACTAAGTTGTAAAACCATTTGTAATTGTGGTAGGCCAGTAACGGCGTTTGACTTTATTAAGCATTGTCTTTTCTTTACTCATAGATTGTTACAGGATGGATTTTCAAGTGTCAAGTCCGACCTATCTCTATGACCTTGATTATAGTATGTCAGCACCCTGCCGAAAAGCCGATGTAAAACAAATTGCAGCCCAGCTCCTGCCACCACTCTACTCTCTGGTATTCATCTTTGGCTTTGTGGGTAACATGTTGGTCTTCCTCATCCTGATAAAGTTCAAAAAGCTGAAGAGCATGACTGACATCTACCTGCTCAACCTGGCCATCTCTGACATGCTCTTCTTGCTCACTCTCCCAGTCTGGGCTCACTATGCTGCAGATGAGTGGGTCTTTGGGGGTATAATGTGCAAATTATTCACAGGGCTCTATCACATTGGTTATTTTGGTGGAATCTTCTTCATTATCCTCCTGACAATTGATAGGTACTTGGCTATTGTCCATGCTGTGTTTGCTCTAAAAGCCAGGACGGTCACCTTTGGGGTGATGACAAGTGGAGTCACTTGGGTGGTGGCTGTGTTTGCCTCTGTCCCAGAAATAATCTTTACCAGATCTCAAAAAGAAGATCTTTATAATACATGTAGTCCTCATTTTCCACACACCCAGTATCACTTCTGGAAGAGGTTCCAAACGTTAAAGATGGTCATCTTGAGCCTGGTCCTGCCCCTACTTGTCATGGTCATCTGCTACTCAGGAATCCTCCACACCTTGTATCGCTGTAAGAATGAGAAGAAGAGGCACAGGGCTGTGAGGCTCATCTTTGCCATCATGATTGTCTACTTTATCTTCTGGACTCCCTACAACATTGTCCTTCTCCTGATGACCTTCCAGGAATTCTTTGGGCTGAATAATTGCAGTAGTTCTAATAGACTAGACCAGGCTATGCAGGTGACAGAGACTCTTGGAATGACACACTGCTGCATCAATCCTGTCATCTATGCCTTTGTTGGGGAGAAGTTCCGGAATTATCTCTCAGTGTTCTTTCAAAAACACATTGTCAAACGCTTTTGTAAGCACTGTCCAATCTTCCAACAAGACAGTCTTGATCGTATGAACTCAGTCTATACCCGGTCCACAGGGGAGCAGGATGTTTCTACTGGTTTATGACCTGGATTGAGTTTTGTATATTAGTTTTCTATGTAGCTTGGGAGTAGAAATGTTTTTTTAAAAAAGAAGTTATCATAATAGAGGGCTTAAGATACATACATGTTTTAGATATTTATTTTAGATAGATATTGGGTCTTTAGAAAGCCAAATGAGAATATATTGATGAGTAGTGATCCCTGGTCTCATTCCCACTTACCTCTAGTTATTGGCAAACTCTTCTTTAGCCACAAAAATTCACTGTAAAAAATGTCCCAAGAGTTGGGAGGTTTTTTTTTTTTTAAGTTTGACTATCTGAACAGAAATAACAGTTTCAATCAAGAAGAATATACAAGGAAAATTCAGGTTATAAATGTACTTTAAATAGATACTTGTCTTGTCCTGAGAAGAAAAGATGAGAGTGTGATTAGTTAGGAAATAGATAACTAAGCTGCATAAATTAGTTCCATAGACTTGTATGATCCGGTGACTGCTCCGTAGCCTGGGAGGGCCGGGAACACATCCCTTTTTAAGAAGGGATTTGAATTGGAGCATACGTGAGTAAATGAGAGGGAAGTCTTTCTTTGAGTGGTGCACAAGCAAAACAACTAGACCTGTGACTAGTTGGAAAGGCCATGGAGAGAAAGGTCAAGGCTGGATCATAACACATCTTGGCAGCATTGCTCCTTCAAAGTTATGAGCAGGGTGGAAGCACCTAGACAGATTTGTACAAAGCTTTTTTCATGGCTTTGGCAAGCAATTAAGGAAAGTCGATCAGCAGCAATAAGGTCAGGGTGAGAGATCAAGTCGCCTGGGCTAGCCAGTAGGGAAGTACCATTTCTGCATATAGAATATAGAGTCAGCAGAACTTGGGGTACATTGGAGGTAGAGGGGAACAAGAACCTCTAGGCTCAAGCAGATTGGAATAACCATTGGAGAAACAAATACAAAAGAGTAGTACAGGAAAGAATCTGGCTTAGGAGGGTAGTCTCATTTTACAGCCTGTTGCCTCAGGCTGATATTTTGTTCCCACCCTCAGACCCAAATCTTGCCATACCAGCTTTGCATACTAAGGATTAACCAGGGGACTGTGAAACATCTGGCTTATGGATCATGAGCCTGAAGTTTAAGAACAATAAGGACACCTTGTGGATTCAGCTGAGGGCTACTTATATAGTTTGAACCCAGAGCTTTACAACCTTGAGTAGAGGCCCTAAGATATGAGGGAAGATAATCAATTTTCTCTATTTACCTAATAATCAGCAAATCTGAGAGATAAACCATCCTTTTAGAAAGAAGTTGCTGTGAGCTTCAGAAATTATGAAAGTGTAATTACCGCCCTCTGTGTTCCAGGCTAAGTGTGAAGGCTTCAGTTACTCTTTACAAATGGCTTCTCCACACAAACTGCTAAATTTAGCCATTGCAGAGAGGTTTGGGTTTTTGTTCGTTTTTGCAGTTGCTATTTATGATATGGTTTTGAATTTTGGAGCGGTTAAGAACTTCATAGTGAAGACTAAGGGAAGAAACAAAAGGGTGAGAATCACCCAGAGGATTAAAGTGTCTGGCTAACAAAAGGTGCTATTTTTTTTCAAGCTCTGAATGTGAAACCAGAGCCTTGTGGCTGCCAGCAGGAAGTGAGCATTTGTTCTTTTCTTTCCTGGGATCCACATTTTCTCCCCCAATATGTAGCTGAGACTAGACTCAAACTCATGATCCGCCTTCCTCCATCTCAAGCACTGAGATTAAAGGTGTATATGAACACACTCAGCTCCGTATTTTTATATTCCTAAGCATATAGAAAGTTGCAAATTCTTTGAAGATAATACGAGTCTTATAAAAAGTGCTTTGCAAAAAAAAGTGCATTTTTTGTTCTTTCAATCAAGTGTACATTTAATGAATAGTACATAAAATTATGAGATCATTTTATAAGTAGTTGTTTTGGAGAACATCCCCAAATAGTACTTATTTAAATATAGTCTTTATCTTATTTGGATAGTGATTGTATTTCCTTTAAAATATTTTTAAGTCAACTTTCTCCCTAAGACAAATTGTTATAATTTGTTGTTAAAGGTGTTACTTCTAAACGTGTAGCTCCTGGTCAGAGTTGCCTTGAAAGAGTGTAATTTTAAATTGTGCTTACCCTTAACCAAAGGCGTTTTAATATATTTACAAATTGATGTCAGTGGTCAAGAATCTGATTTAAAATAAACACATGCAACTGTGTGGTCTGGCATCTGAATGTGAGGCAGAGGATGAGCATTGCTTTTCTTTTATTTAAAATTCAGTCAGACATGGCAACTATGTAACATTGGGATTTCCATCCATATATTTCTTGTTCAAAGAGAGGATAGATCCTCCAGGGAGAGTTTGGGACATGCTGGTTTTCAGTCTGCTACAGTCTCAGCTTCCTGGTTTTCAGTCTGCTACAGTCTCAGTGTCCAAAGCAGAGTGTGTGAAGATGTCGTAGTTGGGCATGTTCCTAAAAGAGTAGTAAGCACCTCTGGGCTCTGGCTAGTACAGTAACTTCTTACCAGATTCAAAGGGTAGCTTTCCATCCCTTAGATCCAAAGGTGGGATGCATCAAACAGGAGTGGGACCCACCTGGGTTAAAGGAAAGAATCAGGGGGAAGGGAGCCCTGTCTGCTGTGATACAGCCAGCTGTTGTGGGGATACGGGAAAGTGTGCTGGTAACTTTTCTTGTTGCTGTGACAAAATATCTGACAAAGGCAACTTAAAGAAGGAAGGGTTTACTTTTGTCGATAGTTTGAAAGAATACAGCCTATCACGGTGTGTGAAGAGTGTGAGGATGTTGGTCACATTACATCTGCGTCCAGGAAGCAGAGAACTTACTAGGTAACTTCAGCCAAGCTATCAATATCAACCATCATAAAAAGTGTCAAGTTTTTTTTTTTTTTGGTATGGCTGATGTATACAGTCCTTCTTGCCTTTCCATATATGTGATGATAAAGTTCTAAGGGGGTCCTTGCGTGGGGGACCATGGTGGATTCCATGGCAGCAGAGGGTGACGGGGGTGGGGTGGGGGGCAAACACGCCAGGCAGACAGAGTTTAAGTGAGAAGTGTTATTAGAAGCGGGGGGGGGGGGCGGGGGGAGACACAGAGACAGAGAGAGGACCGAAGAGAAGAGGGAGACAGGAAAAGTCCTGTCTGCCCCAGGGGAAGAGTGAAGAGCAGGAAGACAGCTGGAAAAGAGTAGAGAGAGAGGAGAGCAGAAAAAGAGTGTTAAGTGGACAGGTCTCTTTTAAAGGGTCCTTTGCACCTGCGTGCAGACTAGGCAACCATGGAACCCTGGACTGGCTAGGGTACTTACCTGAGTGCATCCTACCAGGTGACAGGGCAGGCCAGCACAACGCCTGAATCCTTAAAATATGTTAGTTGAATCCATGAAGAAAAGCTGCATGAGGTGTCATGTAACTGTTATGTATCTATTTCTTTCACAATTTTATAAAAATTTTAATGTTTCATTTGGCTCCATTTTGCTACTATTTTATTGGATTATAAATTCCGTGCTATTATAATTCTGTCATGCTTCAGGAACTTATTTTTGTTTCAAAAAATAGTTTTTTCATTTGTGTTTTGTGAGACAGGAGTGTTCTGTGTAGCCCTGTCCTGGAACTCACTCACTGCCTCTGCCTCTGTGTACTTGGATTAAAAGTGTGTGCTACCACCTCAAAAAAAATACTTTTTAAAGCATAGGTGGAGGATACGAACCTTTTCCCTGCTTGAGTCAATGGGAAGCCTATCAAAACCGCAAATAACCTGGGCTATACTGCTTCCATACTGCCTACCAGTGGCCAACTAGCAAATTAACAAGGCTGCTTGGCAACCAGCATTGACCACAGCATCCAATCAAGGAGCATGGTTTCCCTCAGTTCTTCACTGTTTGTGTCCTTTATTCCAGTGCAGACAGAGGCATATCCAGAGCAGCTCAGGGTAGATGACCCACAGCTCTTTCTTACTGCTTCTGAAGAACAGAAAAAACATCAGATTAGGACACAAGTTGACAGTTTGAATAAAATAAATGTTTCAGGTGGATCTACAGAATGCTGGAGCCCAGACCTAGAATAAGGTCAGGAAATTAATTCTAACTAGGCTTTTTTCACACGCGTCCTGTAATTCTCTCTAACCTGCATATCCCAAGTGTTTGAAGTGACCAAATATAGTTGAGACAGAGGTGGTTTTCTTTGATTCTTATCTTCTCCTTTCTCCATAACTGTTATCACTCCACTTGGAAGCAACACTCTTACAAAACTCTATCCCTATATTGAGGGCTATTCAGTCCAGGTGCCTCTCTTTGTAGGTGAAGAACAGAGTCTAGTCTAAGCCCCAGAGAGGGTTTAATCAGCATGCTATGATAATGTTTCCCAGTCTCAGTGGGCAGTCAGTGATAAGTCATTGAGTGGAGTGGGTGGGAGGGGTTCTGCTACCCCTTATAATCATGCCTGAATAAATTCAGGCGCTGAACCTACAATTCATGGAGGCCATATTCTGGCCATGGCTTAACCTTAGCTGTACTTTGAATCAACATGGGGGAGTTTCACAGTGACCCTGAGTCCCACTCTAATCAGTTTTACTCCAATAGATTCTGCTTCAACCAACCCATAATGTAGCTGTTAGGAATCACATGTCCTCAAGTACTTTAGTCCTTTCTTATGCATCGTTTGCAATACAAAATAATACAAGAGTCTCAGGTGTGCCTGAGGCATCTTGTGACCAAAGTCATGGGTGGTGACCAAATCACAGAAAACTATCACTGTTTTCCACAAGGATTTTACAAGGTCAAAGTAGTCTGAAAAACAGCTGTTCGTTCTAATATCTAACCCGGATTCAGTGACTCTGCTAAATTCTCACTGAAGATTTGGGAGCCAAGCTTGACCTTCAGCCCAGTGAATGAAGAGCACCGGCTTCAGAATGTGAGGATGTCTTCAGTTTTTAAGATAGGTTTAGTTAGAAACCATAAAGAAAATCTAGGCAGTAGAAGAAACTGGGTGTGGAATACTGGCAGGGCACTAAGAAGAATGACTGGATAGAGATGTTCACCTGGAGTCACGGGCAATGGATGCCACAAGGGTGAACAAAATGCCTCAGACAGAACTTGGAGTAACGCAAGCAGCTAAAGAACAAGGAAATTTGCTAGGAAAGGCAGAAGTACTTGTGTACTAGAAATACATAGCCGTCCAGGGGAGAGGACTCTGAAAGGAAGAGAAAGTAAAGTGTCAGCAATGACAAATGCTGCAAAGACTGGCACAAGACATGGGTAGACAACAGAGCGTCTACAGCCTTGTGATGCTGTCAGAATGGCAGATCACTCAACTCCTGTCTGCTTCTGCCTTGGTGATCTGTTGAAAGGAAACTTTTCTTCTTTGCCCCAGAAAAACACTACTTTTTTGTCCCTATGTTTGGTCTCTTCAGAAAGTATGAGAATAATCTACACAACTGTCACACGTATGTAGAGGGCCTAGGTTGGTCCCATGCAGGCTCCCTGCTTGTTGGTTCAGACTCCATGAGTTCCTATGAGCCAGGTTAGTTGTTTCTGTGGATTTTCTTGTGATGTCCTTGACCCCTCTGGCTCTTACAATTCTCTCTCTCTCTCTCTCTCTCTCTCTCTCTCTCTCTCTCTCTCTCTCTCTCTCTCTCTCTCTCTCTCTCTCTCTCTCTCTCTCTCTCTCTCTCTCTCTCTCTCTCTCTCTCTCTCTCTCTCTCTCTCTCTCTCTCTCTCTCTCTCTCTCTCTCTCTCTCTCTCTCTCTCTCTCTCTCTCTCTCTCTCTCTCTCTCTCTCTCTCTCTCTCTCTCTCTCTCTCTCTCTCGCGCGCGCTCTCCAGCAGGATTCCCCAAACTTGGCCTAATGTTTGGCTGTGGATTTGCATGTGTTTCTATCAGTTACTAGATGAAGGCTCTCTGATGACAATTGGGGTAGTCACCAATCTCATCACAGGAGATGGCCAGTTCAGGCTACATATCCTCTATTGCTAGGAGTCTTAGTTGGAGTCATCCTTGTAGATTCTTGGGAGTTTTCCTTCCATCGGGTTTCTTTTTTTTTTTTTTTTTTTTTTTTTGTTTTACGAGACAAGGTTTCTCTGTATTGTTTTAGAGGCTGTCGGTCCAGCCCGGCCTCAAACTCACAGAGATTCGCCTGCCTCTGCCTCTCGAGTGCTGGGATTAAAGGCGTGTGCCACCACCGCCCGGCTTCCATCGGGTTTCTACCTTGCCCGGAAATACTCCCCCTTCCAGTCATCTCTTTCAGTACTCCCCCCCCCCCACCATCCACTCCCCAACCTGATCCCTCAAGTTCCCATCCCCACTTGGTCGTCTTGTGTGACTCCTAACAATGGGAGCAGGGGCTGTCCCAAATGCTTTGGCTGGCTGTTGGGAACCTATACCTCATACTGGGTTGCATTGCCTAGCCTTAATACAAGAGGAGGTGCTTAATGTTCATATTTTATACTTTGTTGATACCCAAGGGAGGCCTGCCTGTTTCTGAACAGAAACAGAGAAGTAGATAGGGGGTGGAGGGGAAACTGTAAAATAAAATAATTAATTAATAAGAAAGAAAATTAGGAATGCATGGCCTTACATGAAATCATTGGGATTTGTATCAGTTTCTGGTAAATTAAAATAACAAAAATGAGCCCTGCATTGGTGGCCCACACCTTTAATCCCAGCACTCTGGAGGCAGAGGCAGGCAGATCTCTGTGAGTTGGAGGCCAGCTGGGTCTACAGAGTGAGTGCCAGGATTGGCTCCAAAGCTACACAAAGAAACCCTGTCTCGAAAAACAAAATAAACAAAAAAAAATGAATTTTAAGGATTAAGAAACTTTAGCAAGCCAGCAACTTTGGCTTGAAAAAGAATAGTCAACACACACATCTCCCAAAGGAATATTATGACAAATTATTGTATCAACTTTGCACAGGTTTGGGGTTAGCTTGTTACTAGTATCTATGGTTTGAACCAGAGTATGCAAAACAATGAAAAAGTCCTCATACCCGCTACACTCACATCAAAGCCCACAATGGATGGTCTGTTTTAACTTGATTTCTCATGTTGCAGTAAGTACCATGAGCAAAAGCAAATTGGGGAGGAAAGGGTCTATTTCATCTTACACTTCCATGCTGCATTCCGTCACTGAGGGAAGTCAGGACAAGAACTCAAACAGAGCTGAAGCAGAGATCATGGAGGAATGCTGTTTGCTGCCTCTCTCACTGG